ATGCTCACTCGTACAAGAAATTACGACACATTTATCTTATCATATATATCGTCTTTCGCGTGTATGATTGGGCAAACGTTTTTACTGCCAAAAATTATAGAAAATGTAGTTTATAAAACAAGCTTAAGCAAATTTGCATGCTATAAAAAAAAAAAAAAAAAAAATGAATAAATAAATAAATTTGCATGATATAGTTTTCAGAAATCAGAACCATGCATGCATGTTAATAGAAAATACTCGCAAGAGAGCCTCTCAAATTACTTCAAATTTTGAAAGATCCCATTCTATATAAAAAAAAAACTTTAATGAGCTCTTTTTTTGTTCTATGATTATTGATTGGGATCATTTTTGCATCCTATAGCAACTTAGATTTTACTTCTTTTATTTCCAATAAAACATTTATATTTGATCTAGTGATGTGTAACTTTTTTTAGTGTTAATGACTCATGATTTAATCATTATGAAGATTGCAGGACAGACGACAGCTGCAAAACTTCTTACAACATGACGTAGTACTTTGATGAATTTGGATACATATTTGTTTTGGTAAGTAATAGATCCACCGATATGTGTGTGAACATTAATAGATGATGTGTGTGAATGTATCACCTATATGCATGGACATTCATCAGTATCCCAAAGTTACATTTTTTTATCGTGTACGTATACTTTTTTATCGATATATATATCTACTTAATGCACTTTTATTTTATTTTATAATATAAAATTTGGAAAATTTGCACTATAATTTCTTTCTCCCTCATTTTGATTTTCAGAACAAAAAGAGCATGAATCAGTCATTTTATCCAAAAACATTGTTATTTTCTTAAGAGTTTTTTTTTTAACAAAAAGGTTCCCGATATAAGTTTAGAAAAGTATCATCCCACTATAGAACGTTATATAAATTGTAGTTTTGAAGTTTTCGATTATATGAAGTAATACGATATTCTTATAATCTGAAAAAAAAAAATCTCATATAAATTTGTGGTGAGTGGGTCATTTGACCCCAATAAATTTTTATTTTATTTTTTATTTAAAATAATAAATAAAATAAAGAAAAGTTATCATGGAGTCATTAACCCACTCACCACAACCTAGCTGTGATTATATACTACCCGAGTTACCATATTTCGTACACATGTCGACATTTATATCTTTTATAACAACATGTATATGAAATATCGGTAACTCATAAATCACTAGTAAATTACAAGTTGATATAAATATATCTACTTAATCGAGAAAGTGACACATTCAAGGAAGAAAGGATTGATTTGATGCGGAATTCATGCTTGGTATGCTACTTGTAGCACACTTCAAGTATAATTCTGGTATTTTTACCGTACAAATTAACAATATAAATCTTTGCTTTTGATTTCTAAATTGTCTTTATCTAAATTTAATAATTCTTTGCACAAATTTGCAAGCAACAATCTTTCGAGATGGACACGTACCTAGTAGTCCAATCCCAATAGTAGTATCGACTTAGGTGGTTAATTAGTGACATATATTCCAATTTCTTAGCTAAATTTTGTTTTTAACCTATTTGGCTATTTTATGTTTTGACTCTTTGAACTCCTATGTTCCAATTTCCAAGTAGTTTTGTCTTGTTTTAGGTTTTTTCAGAACCATTAATTATCCTGATTTGAACATCTTCTTTTATTATATACTACTTCTTATTTTTCTAATTAATCCAAGTGGTATATAACAAAAGAAGATGTTCACCACTTGGATTAATTAGAAACATAAGTAGTATATATATAATAAAAGAAGATGTTGAAATCAGGATAACTACAAGTTTACTGTTCTAAATTAACTAGATATCAAGATATTAAGTTACTAGTTTATGATGTCTAGTTAATTTAGAACGTAAACTTGTAGTATAATATAAACAACCAGTAACTTATATATGGTTAAAACATTCATAACATTCACTATAAAACAAACGACCAGCTGTCCAAACTTTATATATAGATGGAATTTTTTTTTTTTTCGAATGCATTTTTAGTGTTACATGCATGTTTCTTTGCTTTGGTAAAAATGATGGTTTCGGTTGCTAGTCGGTGTACACCATCATATACATGATCAATATATCTTAACACCTTTAATAGTGATAAATATATTCCGGTCAGTGGATGGATTCAATTATCTCTTCTCTCAATATTTTGATTAGAAACAAAATCTCTACCTATAGAGAATAAAACCCTAACCTTGCTTCCAATTTCAAAGCTGGTTTTAATTTCGACTACTTCACAGAATTGACAGGCCAACTCATTCACCTCCATTGATACTTGGAGATTGAAGAAACTTTTGTAATTGGTTCAGATTTGTTCATAGATGACTATAGTTTTTTTTTTCTTTCAATTATAGGCTTGACCCATCGAACATTATGGCCTAGACTTGAAATGTATTTCTCTCTTGCAATTTAATTGAAAAACATTTTTCAAAAGAAAAAATATCTATAGAACTTTACGCCGAAAATGCATTAGACTATATACGTAGTTGTGTACAACAGTAACCTATAGAAAAAGAATTAAATTTTGAAAGATATATAGCAATCTTACTAGATTAGCAACATAAAGGGGCATAACGTAATAACCCTTTTGAAGTAACTGTAGTAAAATAATTGCCTTTATCATTTAGAATGTTCCTATGGTTACTACTGAACTATTATAACACATATTTTAGAATAATGTTCCAACAATATAATACTCTTTGGGAGGACCAATTGTTCCGGTCCAGTGGGGATGGGAAAACGGCACTGCGTGCAACCATTTTCTTTCCACTGATTAACCAAAACAGCATGTGGTCCTAACCTTTAGAAGTTAAACGTCACGGAGTGTTATAGTGATGATCACTTCAACACACGCCTTTTATTATTACAACGATCATAATCAAAACAGTGTCAGTCTTTATTATTCTTCAGTTAATCCTGACCGTTCATTCAAAATTTGGATGATGTGTCCTTCCATGGTAACTTTAACCCCTTCTAACGTCTTTTAACTAAAGTAAAAAAATTAAAAATGAGCGGATAAAAAAAAGTGAATTATCTACAGGGAGAGAGAGAAAGCCATTTGGTGCGGAGGTTTTTGGTGGCGACAGAGCTTTTCTCTCTCTTCCGTACAAATGGCGCCGCCGAAGAAGGTTGACGGAGAAGGAAAAGGGAAAGCTATAGCGAATACGTCGACAAGAGTGCTTCGAAGTATGACTCGGAAGACTCGAAGCGATACTAAGCGAGAAGGTTCTTCTTCTAAGCTTGTGAAGCTCGAATCTCCGGAGAAGAAGAAACGGAAGACGACGAAAGCGAAGAGTGGTGGAGCAGCGACGAAGAAGGTCAAGAAAGAAGAGGTAGCTGTGAAAATCGAGAAAGAGGATGAAGAATCTGCGGAGGAGGAAGATGATGATGCTGCAGAGAAAGAAGAAGAAGAAGAAGATGATGACGACTCCGAGAAGACGAAGATTGTGATCGAGCATTGGTAAACGAAATGTCTTCATTATTTTTGGTATATTTGGAGAAATTTGGGGGAAAATGTAGTAGCGAGTATTTAGGGATTTTGTTCTCCGATATTGAAGCTAATCTTTTGGTTTTTGTCTCTGTTTCGTTGGAAATTTCGTGTTTCTAGGTTTTTTTTCTTGTTAGGGTTTCGTTCTTGAATCTGCACACATTCTTTTGTTAATCTTTGGTTTTGTACACAATGTGTCATTCGCCTTTATGATTGATTCAATTCTTGTTCTGAAGAGGAATTGGTTTTTGTGGTTTCTCTTCTTTGCTTAAGTTGAATTGCGATCGATTATCGTCTTTGATTATGGTTCTTAGTGTGTCTTGATTGTGATTGGTGATGTTAAAGTAAAGAAAATTTGATGTTATGTCTCGTTATGTTGTTGATGTTTGTTGTTGTTTTCTTGAAGCAAACAATGCAAATCATTTAGGGAGAGGGCTAATGAGGTGAAGGAAGGTCTAGAGGAAGCTGTCCCTGGCATCATTGTCACTGTGAATCCTGATAAGGTAGTGAATCTTTGACTGCAGATGTATATATTTGTCCCAATGTGTGCATTATTAAGCTAATTCTTTCCTTTTTGATCTGCTTTAACAGCCAAGGCGTGGTTGCTTTGAGATTCGAGAGGAAGGTGGCGAAACATTCATCAGTCTTTTGGTAAGACTTTCACTCTCTTACATGAATGTAGTATGTCAATTAGTCGCACTAATGTGAGCGAGTTGTTCCAGTTGAATTGAGGTTTCTCGTCTTGTCTGTATCTATTCTCATAACACAGTTTCTTTAAGGATATACTTTCAAAGTGAAAATCAACTCTATCATCTTAAGCACCCACAAAGCTATTTTTGATGAGTCAACTGATAACCAATAGGGTTTTGTGAGAGCATTCATAAAATGGCTTTTGGTTGTTTTCTTTTTGCTGAATCAAGTTGAGTGCTAACTTGTTTGAAATAAGAACAAACTAGCAGATTACATTGTTAGTGACTAGGTGTACAATAAGAATATGTTTGCTTTCATGTTATTTATTTTGCAGAGGTATATAGAAGATGATGTGACTTTCTTATGTAGGGTATGAAGCGCCCATTTACACCAATGAAGGAACTTAACATGGAAGAGGTCATTACTGACATCGTAGAGAAGATTAAATAACATTGCAAGTAGGTTCTACCAATGCCGAGTCTTTTGTTTCTTCCTTGGCCCTCGGCAAATAGGCTTCAATATCTGACTATCTAGAGCAACTGCAGGATTTTTTAGTCTTAATTTTGATATATTGGTGAAAACCATTTAAGCACGGTTTCGTCATTTGGCAGTGCTTGATCGGCTTTGTGCAGTTTCTTTATGCTAAAACTTCCTGATATATTTGGGATTAAGTCTGTCTATGTAATGCTAGTTTGAAGCAATTCGTTTCACTTATTGTTGGATTGAGTTTGGCGTTAATTACGTTACGGATTGGATGAATGAAGATAAAACGTTTAGTTACAATTTGGTAATACAAGTTTCACAGGACAGAACATCACACTTTCATTGCCTAATGATAAATGGTTGAGGTACAATAATGTGAGTAGAAATTGTTAGTGTTTTTGATCCACTTCATATTACCATGCCTCTGTCTATGGTCGAGTCTCATCTTCAGTTTATTTTATCCTCGACTCGCTCTGATTCAAACCATCTTAGAACCCAACAAAGCTAGCCACAAACCCGAGAACGAGGACAGCACCGAAGCTCAAACCGGCGTTAGAAGCAGAAGAAGGTGGTTCAGCCTCATCAGCTGCAGCCATCTTCTTCTTGCCGGATTTATCTGGAGCCGGAGCTGGAGAATCATCTGATGGAGCAGATGCAGGTGCAGTTTCTGGGGCTGCACCAGGAGGAGCATCTGCATAATCCTCTTCCTCAGCTGGTCCAGGAGCTGGAGTGGCTGCACCCTTCTTGGGAGATGGTGCCGGTGGTGAAGTCATGGGTGGTGGTGGAGGAACCTTAACTGGAGACCCGAGTCCAGGAGCCACAATGGGCATGCTGATCTGGACCACAGAGAGATTGTATGGGTTACGGAAAACGGTTGTGATGTATTCAGCCGTTTGAGGAGCGCCTTTCACACCAGAACCAAAGTAAATCTTTCCATTAGATTTGGTGCAGTTGAGGAAACCGTTTTGCTGTTGGCCCAAACCGGTGGACTGGTAAAGGGTAGTGAGCAATGTGCTCTTCTCCCTGAGAGCCTTAAGCTTAAGCTCATCAAAGTAGTCAAGAACCACATGGTTCATAAGAATGTTTTTGAGCTCTTCCTCGGGTCTACCAGAGATGGAACCGATAGCATCATTGCTAAGAGCCAGCACGGTGATGGTCTGACGTTTGTTGATAATTGGTGTGAGCTCGGTCTTGGCAAGAAGCTCCATCATGGTGCTGAATTCAGGGTATTTCTCGAGCACTCGGGTTATGTTAACCGCTGATACAATGGAGGAAACAGCGAGTAAGATGGTGAGACAGAGGAGAGAAGAGGAGACCTTGAGACCCATCTTTGGGTGTTTTTGGTTATTACCCTTATTTTTTCTATAGTAAAGCTCAAACCTCAAAGCCTGAGTTTGCAATAAGAGGATCAGGTTGGGTATATATACAGACCTCAAGAGGAGCTCAAGATTAATGGTGGAGAGACATTTACTTATATTTGTTTTGGCTAAATTTGAACTTGACTTTATTGTTACCTCTATATTTGGCTTTAGACTGTTTTATTTTTTACCTTTGGTTTTAGGGTTTGTGATATTGAGATTTGTTGTTTTCCTCAAAGAATGATGAAATGTTACAACAAAAAATAGGTGGAATTAATATAGAGTCAACGTAGACAAGTCTTTATTTAGTCAATTCTTCAACAACTTGAGGTCCTAAGCTCGAATCCGGAAGTAGTAACAGGGTCACAGGATGTACTTTTTGGGGTTTGAAACTCAAGCACATCTTGTATACTTTGCGGTAATTAAATGTGTTCTGCACATAATCATCAGGCCACACTGATGATACATAGATTTTGAAATTTTATATAGTTTTGCTTATTGGAAGATTGTGATGATTTCAAGATCTCGAAATATAGTAATAAATTGGGAAAATTAAAGTACTGTCTTATCCATTATCTTATTCACAATTACACTTTTACACAAATAGCAATCACAACATATAGGCCTTAAATTATTTTCAATAATTGAGTAAAGTATGATTACTCAAACTGTCAAAACATATTTATGGTTACATGATTCATACTTCATTGCATCTTTTTTTTCTCCCGTCTAGGTCTTTTTCTTCCAGAAATGAATAATTTTTTTTCCTAAACCAAAGGTGTAGGAAACACAAGCTAAGAAGGAAGTGACTTTGGAGCCTATCTGCAAACAGTCAAGGCTCCTCCATGTGGAAGCAGCTCTTAAATCTAAGACCATTGGCAAAACCCTTCCTTTCATTTGAAGTAGGTGATGGAAAATCCCGCTCCTTTTAGTATGATAATTGGACTCCTTTCGGATAGTTGTGCACATTCCTAGGAGCAGATATGAACATGCGCTACTTGGTCTTCCGCTGGAATCAACAGTAGCTCAAGCAAGATCATGGAATTGTTGGTTATTTGTGTTGAGATTTGCTCTAGTACAATTTAGAATCCATTTCTCTTATACAAGATAAGTACACGATTCAATGGGATCAGCTTATCCACAGATTGACAGATACCCCTCGGTCAAAACTCAGCAGCTTCATCATTCGCTACACCTTCCAAGCTACAATTCGTAGTCTTTGAAGGGAACCAAACGGTCCGCTTCTTCAGCTTTTATTTAAATATTACTTCTTAAAACTATAGTATTATAAATGGGAGATTGACACAAATAGCCCCAAAAAAGTTGTTTTTTCCAAAAATAGCACCTCATTTGAAAAGTTCCACAAATAGCACCATAAACTTCAATTAAACTTAATGAAAATATAAGATAGAAAATAAAAAAGAGAACAAACACTAATCTAATATTAAATTGAATCAAAATTGTTTTTAAATAGTGGAAATATATACCCTAATTTAGAAATAGAGAACCCAAATATAATACCACAAACTAATATTAAAATAAAAATCTCTTTTAAAAGGTGAAAATATATACCCTAAATTGGAAATAGGGAACCCAAATATAATACCATAAACTAATATTAAAATGAATCAAAATCTCTTTTAAAATATATACCCTAAATTGGAAATAGAAAACCCAAATATAATATTTTAAATTTATTTCTAATTTATTTTGTTGAATAGCTTTTATATAAAAGATGTGGTATTATTGAAAAAAAAAAGCTAGTGATAAAATTTTTAGAACAAAAACACTAATAGTAAGTTAACTAGTGCTATTTTTGGAAGTTTATGGAGTGTGTGCTATTATTGTCAATAAAACTTGTTTTATGGCTATTTTTAGGAATTTCTCATTATAAAAAGTATTAACTACAGTTTCAGAAATATTTTGGTGGAATGGTTAAGCTATAAACCATACAATAATATGGCAAACAATACAAGCAATCATGAAGTTAGCTTTTAATTAATGTGTGGTTATCAAAAGCTAACAATAAGAAATTTGTTTAAGCAAAACAAAATAAGCCGACAAATCAAGTTTTAAGAGGAAAAAGGGAAATACTGAGAAAACAAAAGAAGGAAAAATAAAGCTACATTTTTAACAAAAAAAAAAAAGATTCAAAATTTAGAGAAAAATATATACTAAATTCGAAATAATATTAATCATGGTTATGTATATTTTTAACACCGAAATAGTTTATTTATTTTATATATTATATTTTAAAAAGATTAAATCCAAAAATATTTTAAAATCTATCGTTTAATATCTACCATATTATATATATAAAAAAAATCTCCAACGCACCAAACACATTTTTTAACTCAACATATTACCAAAGTTTGCTTCATTTAAACGATTCATTTTGAATTTTTTTTGCAAAGTAAACTATCTTATGTGTTTTCAATTATAATGAATCATTAAAATCTGCACCATATGTCTTAACAAAAAATCATGACTTAACATTGGTAGAATGCTATTATTCATTATTGTTCTTACAAAATTACAAAACAACATGGTGAAAGACGAACATGGTTTGGTCAACGGACAACTTTGTAAAAATTAGATATTTAATTATTACCAATTAATTGATTTGATATTAAAAATATAGATCCTTTTGCTTAATTAATATTAAGTTTCAATAAGATTTTTTTAGTAATTTTGTATATTTTAAAATTATTTTAAATAAAAAAACAAAGAGAAGATTTTTTTCAAAAGTGTAAACAAAAAAGGGGTATTTTTCCAAATTTACTCAAAAAAAAATAGGCAACAGTAAAGCTTTAAAATATTAAAAAAAAAAAAGATATAGAAAAAGTGGAAAAATAAAAGAAAAGGAAAGTGGTTAAGCGTGTTTATAAACAAATTATAATCAGACGTATGCTTATAGAAATATAGCATTACACCACAATTTCATATTTCTCAACAATCTCTCTCTCTCTCGCTAATTCCAGTCTCTTACGACTCATAAATCTTTCTCTCTGATTTCGTTTAATTTTACTCCGACAATGGATACTGAATCTATCAAACTCGATGTTCATGTAACCGCCTGGTCTCATACTCCACCGTCAGGGTTCGACGAATTTATCAGAGACGGGAACGATGATAGCGTCACGAGTCTCGGATCTTACCGGGATCCTTCTCGAGTAATCTTTCTAAAATTCCAAAACTTTGAACCAAACTACGTCTATCAACTTCTCCAAAGCCAACTCCTCGATCATGTCTTGTCCGAACAAATAGCTTATCTTGTCGAAACCCACCGGCTAAGAAGTCAAAGTTCTGACTTGCCACAACAACCTATATCCATGAGAGTCACCGTCAAATTGACACAGAAGGTATACGACGTTGTGTCTTGTAGTTCTGCTCCGTCGACAACAGATTTGGGCAAAGAAGAAGAATTGGAGACATGTGCCATCTGTTTGGAAAATCTGTTGAGGAGATCAAAGGATTACAGACAAATGCCTAATTGTTCACATTGTTTTCATGAACAATGTGTCACTAAGTGGTTGGTTCCTCAAAATAACTCTTGCCCTCTCTGTCGCCGACCTATTAGGAACAACCACAGTGAAACGGAGTCTAATTAGGGTTTCAAAATAGTATGTTTTATTTTTTTGTAGTCTTAATGATATTTTGTTTATTTGTGTCGGAAATCTATTTAGGGTTTTCACGTATGTTTTGTCTAAGAGACGAACTAAGAGCCTAAAAGGCTAATTAGGGTTTTTCATAGTTTATGTATCTGTTTTTGTTGGCAATATGTAATGCAGTTTAATTTGATTTAGTGAACTTCAGATTCTCTATACTCGAATTTCACATTAATAATTTCATTTACAAGTTTGATTTTATTATGCGACACATATCTCATGCAACACAACACAACACTGACTTTTTTTTTTTTTTTTCAGCAAAAGATCACTTATATTGAATTAATACGATCAAAATACAACTGTTCTGCCAACCAAATAGGTGGAGTTATACAACCTGAGAAATAATTCACATCTAAACAACCATTTTTAGCAAGTAAGTGAGCTACACGATTACACAAACGGTTTGCATATGTTTGAAATAAAAGAAGCAAACTTGAACTTTTGAAGATGGCTTAGTAATTTCTCCAACACCAGACTTCAGCATGACACTACCAAAGTTTACTTCTTATTATTATAGCAGATATTAATTACAGTTTTCAGAAAGATTCTTTTTTTTTTCTTTTGTTCGTGATATAATTCAGCTAAAGAACACATAATAAACCGGCAAATAATTAGAAAAAATTAAGCCAAAAGGAAAAAAGGAAATATGATCCGAAAAATGGAAAAAGTGAAGAAAAAAAAGGAAAACATAAAAACATAACATTGCATAAACGCGTTAGAAGTTAGATCAAATTATAATCAGATATGCTTATAAAAACATAACATTACACTTTAATGCTCCACAATTTCTTATTCCAATCACTTACGAATCATCATTTAATTTCTCTCTGATTTTGTTTAATTTCACTCCGACAATGGATACTGAATCTACCAAACTCGATGTTCATGTAACCGCTTGGTTTCGTACTCCATTGTCAGGATTCTTAAGCAGTGTAATAATCAGCCGAGACAGAGAGTTCGAGGAATTTATCATAGACGGGCACGATGATAGCGTCACGAGTCTCGGATCTTACCGGGATCCTTCTCGAGGTCCCGACCCACTAATCTTCCTAAACTTCCAAAACTTCGAACCAAACTACGTCTATCAACTTCTCCAAAGCCAACTACACGATCATGTCTTGTCCGAACAAATAGCTGGTCAGATTTTAGTCGAAGCCCATCGGCTAAGAAGTTCTGAATTGCCACAACAACCTTTATTCATGATGGTCTCCGTCAAATTGACACAGAAGGGATACACTTTCGGGACTTGTAACTCTGCTACGTCGACAACAGATTTAGACCAAGAGAGCGAAGAAGACAAATCGGAGACATGAACCCATCTGTCAAATGCCTAATTGTTCGAATCTGTTTCATGAAGAATGTGTCGTTAGTGGTTTGAATCTGACATAATTACGAACCACAAGAGTGAAACAGAGTCTATTTAGGGTTTCAATACATGTTTTATTTTTGTGTGGTTGTAATGATTTAGTTAACAAGAGTGAAAAAGAGTCTAATTAGGGTTTCAGTTATGTTTTAGTTTAATCTTTGTCGTAGAATTTTATGATGCTAATTAGGGTTTTCTCATTGTTTATTTTTTGATCTCGATACCTTTTTGTTGACAACTTGTAATGCAGTTTTGATTCATGATGTGTGCATTGTGATTTTGAGACATGTTCCTCTGTGCCTGAGGGTCTGTGAATTCATGCCCTAAGCTTTCAAATTCTAGCTAGCTTCATCTGAGCCAAAGCAGCAGGACCAGGAAGCTTCTTCCGTAGAAGCCCCCTTAGGCTTTGACACTCTGCTTCAAGTTTTGCAATCTTTTTCACACCTTCCAGATGCTGCTTAGTTGCGATTAGTCTTCAGCTTTTCCACATCAGCTTCAACTTTAGACCTCTCCTCGCTAATCTTTACTATCATCTCAGTGAGTGCTGCATTGTCAGAAGCAGCTCGGTGGAGTCCTTGACTCAATTCATCGATCTTTCCTTCAAGCTCAGCTTTGATCTTGCCCCCGTGATTTGTCTTAGCAAGAATCACATCTTGCAGCTTCTGGTCATTCTCATCTTTCACAATCCTTATCTGCCTCGTGCTTATGTGTATAAGATTATGAGAGCATGTATCATAATGCACAATATGATAGTAGAAGACAAACGAGATGGGTACATTCAGTTTGATGTTTCGGAATTCAAACAAGTATAAGCAAACATAACTACACAAGTCGATTTAACGTATTTGCCTACAAATATCGGGAATATGATGGGCATTCGAAATCGAGTTCGTTATCGAGATATGCATCAACAATTGAAATCTGATTTGGTTGAACATATGCTTATGTCATCCCCAATGGTCTTATATTTCTACTCAGACACAATCAAAATACAAAAGACTTCAACTGAAATTTATAACTTATCAAAACTGACACAATAACACTACTAATCATATATAAAAACAGAGCTGTGGTGTAAATTAAAGCACCTGATTCTCCAGAGAAGCTAAATAGGACAAAGAACAAACAGGAGTTGACTCATTTCCAACAACTGGTTTCTCAGTCGTGGCTTTGTCCGAAGACTTTCTCTTCCACGGCCAAATCTTTTTGGTAGTTTCAGTTTCACTTTAGATTATTACAGTTGGATTTAGGTGAACTTTATTGGTTGGAGACTCCTCTTAAATTGATATTTAGGATTAAATATTTTACAGAAGACCCTAAAACTTTCGATGATTTCAGCCGAAGCTTTAGCACATAAACCAATCTTTTCTAGTATGTGAATAGCATTATGCTTTTTCTTTTTGTAAACTTTTTGAACACATTAACGTTTTGGACAATCCAATTTTCTACACGTAAAGAAAAATTAGCAGATGTTATTGTTATCTACAAAATATCACTTTAAACATGCTTTTGCCAGCTTAAGTCAGAGAAAACAAGACTATACTATAGAGGTCTTTAAAAAGCTTTTGATAAAATATTAGTTTGCTCCTAAGTAACATGTAACACAATTAGCACATAAACATGATGATAACCAGAAAGAGGAAAAAAAAATGGTAAGCCAGCATATAGTGATAAAGCTCATACAAAACCAGTAAATGAGAAGTGACTGCACACTCAAATGCAACATAGAGAGAATATTATAAAGACAACTTCTGCAGCCATGGCTATGGCTCGAATAAAAACTTTTAGCTGACTTGGGGAGCAATCAGGTTTTGACACATGTAGAACTATCAGCATCTGAAAGACACAAAGCATCAAATTTGTTAACGCTCTCAAAAGTACGACGATATTGTTGTAGCTGAGCAACGGTCATGACTTAATGATCTTTTAATTTGTAGATGATGTTGATGTGCTCGTGGCTTTATGCTTCTGTTCTGGTGGGCTGATAGATGCTGGAGCACATGTTGTATTCATAATGTTAAACTTAAGATCCTCTACATGGTCTGCAAAAGCGTAAACTCTATACCCGTTAAACCATCCATGGCGTTCCCCAAAATCTTGGATTTCAACACTAAGGAGAGTGTTCTTTTCAGGATTAAAGTAAAAAACATAAAACGGTTTAATAGTGTTTATAGTGATAACACCTTTATCCTTCCACAAAACAATTTCACCTGTAGCAGTCGTCCCAACAACAGAAAGATTGTTCTTAACCTTGACGATATTATTATCAGCCTGCAAAGTGTAGACATATTTCGACCATTTATGTTTCTCGAAATCCTCTAGAACCCACATACATAACTCAAGGGGAAATCCACCATCATAAGCATACTCTAAACTAACCCCACCTAATTTACCCTTGTAGTTTATCAAATGTGTATGTGATGAAACACCAAAGTGTTTTGCATCTATAAACATGAACTTCTCAGACCTGACATCAAAGCAAACTATCCCATAAGACCAGTCTTCAGTTTTTCTAGCTAAATAAAAAACAGCCCCATTGAAGCATTTTGCTTCACCTAAACGATCATGGCTTAAGGGACATTGGATCTTCCTCCACCTCATTTTTCGAGTTCCTAGTGTCAAAATATGATGATCATCATATGCACAAGCCATGACCAATACTTTGAACTGCTTGTCAAAGGGATCAAACCCTAAAAAATTTCCCGCCTGTCTATAATTTCTCGGTAATTCAGGTAAAATCATATATTGTCCTGTGCTAGGGTTACATATCATATGCACATCATCGTACTTCTCCTCCTTTGAGATCCGCATACTAGAGAAATAGATTAAACCATTAGCATAGCTACTAGTGTATTGGTTTCTTCCTTTAGAGAACTTCATATGAAAATCCGCAGCAACTACAAGAGACGATTTCCCATATGGATTCTGAGGCTGAGGCGATGAGAAGAAGCTCCACTCACCGTAGTCTACGACTGCGAATAACAGACGTGGACGAGCCAAGGACCTGGTCAAGAACAGTTCGGTGAAATATGGACCGCGAAGCATGGACCCCCATAGCTTCGACACGCAGAGAAACCTAGCAATTGACTTTTCGGGCAATCTCGAGAGTATATCAAAAATGAGATCCATCGGGATGGAAGTCATGATCGTATTTGCTGATCGGACTCAGAGGGAGAGTGATATAGGAGGAATACAAATCATGGGGCGACTTCGGGGCCTAGGGCATTAATTTATTCCGAACCAAATCAAGCTTTGTTGATTTCGGTTTAAATTCGGTTTGATTTTGGTTTAAAGGAATAAAAACCGATCAGCGTCCTTTATTTTTATTTTATTTTTTTGATGAATTAGTATTTTTTAAGTACATTTTTAGCGGGTGGGTTAAATTGTTATCCGACAAATTTGCATTGACCCGGTAAAAAATTTCGTTCATAAATTTTACACCGGATAGTTCATATTTTTTTTTGTATCGGGTCAAAACATATCCGAAATTATGAACCGGATATTCCATATTTAAAAATATAGATATTTAGAAGATTTAGTTAAGATTTAAAAATACAATTCTCCTATCATATTCCATGTAGTGCTCACAGAAACGACTGCATCGTGCCCAAAAATCGGTGATTCCAATGAGCGCTTTCATCGGAAAATCCACCCAAAAATGGTCAAAACCATTTTGTCAAAAACAGGTTCTAATAAAGAGTGACTGGAAAAGCAAGAGGAAGTATGAGAGATCAATTAAAACCAAAAAAAAAAAAGTATGAGAGATCAAGAAGCCATTGATTGATGCAACAAGAATGGAGTCCACCAGTGGCGGATCTAGCCATTTA